AGCTAACAGAAATGTTTTGTGGGTTGTAGACTCTTTGGAGACAGATTTAGAATCCAACACTGTATTGCCAAACTGGGTGAMTGTTCTGAAATATGATCAAAGCCCCATCCAACCTGGTCTTGGACGTTTCCAGGGATGGGACATCCACAGCTTCTSTGGGCAATCTGTTCTGGTGCCTGACCAACCTCTCGCATCCAGTCTCAGTCTCCCTCTTGCAGTTAAAACCACAGCTCCTTGTGAGCAAGGCTGCTCTAAATCCATGCATCCCCCAGTCTGTATGGACATTGGGGTTTRCCACAATCCCAGTGCAGCACCTTGCTCTTGGCCTTGTTGAACTTGGTGAGGATAAAGACTTCATGAAGTTTCCTCATGAAGGAGCCCATGAAGYCAACTTCAGGAACTTAAGGACTTCTTACTTGGACAACAGCAGGACTGAAAATGTGCAAGATCTGTAGTGGTTCATAAGAAGAGAAATATGCTTCTCCAAAAAGATTTTAGAATTACATAGYCTTCATTTTGGGGTGTAGAAAAAGAAAGGTGGGTTACCAAACTCAGAGCTGATATGATTTTATCTAGTTTTATCTGGCATATATGATTGAATACACAGAGGTCCCCACCTCTGTGGGCACTCTGGGTTCAGAAGGAATGTGAATATACTGTGAACTGTCCAGAAAAGCACAAACAAACAAAAGTTTAAAAAATCATTTTTATAAAATACTCAGGTGATTTAGCAATGGAAAACTGTCAAATGATGAAAAACCCACTAGCCAGACAGCTGACTGAAAGTTTTCCTCTGCCAGTTAAATACTTACACATTGCTTAAAACAACATGACTTTTTCCATACCTAATTGTGGCAATTTTTCTGAGTATCTGGGAACTCAGGATGMTGAACTTCACAAGGGAAATACTGCTGCTACATACAGATAATTACATGAGCAGTACAACTTATCAGACTCACGTACTGAGTGAAGTTTAAGTTGTCTCTGTGGTTATCCACCCATTACTGGCCACTGGCATCGTGCCTGGGAACTTAGAAAAACATCTTCGTTGTTTCAGTCTATCGAGCTGAAGTCTGAGTAAGTGACAGAATGGCCATTCAAAGTGTTAAAAAAAGACATGAAATAACCCCTTACAGGGAACATTGATCAGTTTGTMACCATGTCCTCTGGTTCTAGCTGAGGCACGACTAATTTATGTGAGAAAAATGTAAATTATATGTCATGGATTGGAATCTGTATTATGCAACTTGCTGGGCTACCAAAGTCTACTTCCTTGAAAGTAAAGTAGATGAACCTGGCATTTATCTGAATGGAGTTCACTTTTCTCACTAGCTCTTTTTTCCTAACTGGAACAAAACCCCCTGAAGTTGATAGCAGCATTATGACCTGCAAATGCCAGTATATTAACCAAATTCATAACATTTAATTATTTTGCCATGCTTTTTGCATTAACAAGTATTGTCAATACAAGTTCCTTATTGTCTTCACTATAATCAAAATTACAAAGACTACTTATTGTAGTAACAAGTACCTACAAAAACGTTTTGTTATTGCTATTCTTTGAGGTATTAGTAGCCACAGGAAAATATGAAAAAATGCCCAAACCAGCTCCACATTCCAATCGATATTTAGTTACTTTCACAATTAAGATAAAAGCCAATATAATGCTGGCAATTTATTGCTTGGTCCTGCAGAGAGCCATTATTTTATCCTAGGGGAGCATGCATCTTGGGAAACAGTTCTATTTAATTTGCAACYATAATCAAGTGATGTGATTTTATTTATGCAAGAAAAGTGTATGAATTTTATTTACAAATGGATTTCAGCAGGATGTGGCTCACAATCTTGGGTAATCACACTGCAAGGGCTTTCAGCTATTCTWAAGAGTAAAATGAGTGTTTTTTTCTATAGATGTGATCCACTGCTCAATAGCTCAAAACTTCCATTAATGTTGTCTGACACCAGTCTCTGAAAGGGTTTTTTACTTTCATTTGCTTTGCTTACCTAAAAGAATATTCACAATTTTGCTGTGGTCCAATGCAATGCAGTAATTAGTACTATTGTTTTCTTCTAGTATTTTTTGCTTTTCTGCTGACACAGTTTACTTGTCAGGAAAACAGCTCAGAGCTTCAAATCAGAGATAGCCTGATGTTTCCCAGATGTGGACAAGGAAGAAGACYCAGGATGTGCTGAGGGGATAGGCATTCTGGAGGTGATTGTAAAAGCTGAACCAAGTTGAGGATGAMTTCTTGGACTGCAAGCTGCTTGTATGGACATTTACTGTCCAAAGACAACCTTGAGAGCAATCCCAGGAGCTGTGCTCCCAGGTGACAGTGCAAAGTGAATCCATGGCAAGAGGTTGGGTTAGGGTCCAGCTAACATTTAGCTGCCTTTGGCTGTGACGCAGTTTGAGGGAGCATTTTAGGCAAGAGACCTGTTTGGCTGGGCCAAGATCAGCTGTTTACCACTGCRCTGTTCTGCCTTTGAAGGGTAATCAAAGCAGATGGAAGTTTCCATCTCAGATTAGCTAGGAGGAGATTTAGATTTCCTGTGCTTTAGTCCCATCATAGCTGTGTAGCAGAAGCAGAAAAGTCCTAAGCTCCTGTCAGTTTCATTGACCTTGTCAGCATCATGTATAACACAATCTATTTTCCCTATGTAGCCTGTAAAATCGCCCTGTAAGTGCAATAAAACTTGAGAGAGAGGGGGTAAGTGGCTGCAAGAGGGCACTGCAAATTCAGCTTTAGTTATAAGGTTTTAGTCATATTCCACAACTACATGAAGAGTGCTCCACACCTAAAAATTTCAAGAGTGGTGTTCAAAAACATCACCCATGAGATATTGCCTGAGCCATGTATTCAATAATTGCCACACTGCAAATATGCGGTGTAATGCGGAAAGGGTTAAAGGCTTATTGAAATTGAAGAATTGTTCTTAATGGGTGCCAAACTCCATCTGCTTTCACAGTAAGAACAGGGAAAATTATGGTAATATCTGTGYCATCCATTTCCTTCTCCTCTGATGCATTATAATAGCATCTAAAGAAAGAACTAGCCACCACATGGTTTTCTACATTATGCGAACTGAACTTTTCAAATCCATGAAGAATGTCAGGAGAAGCTGTCAGTCTTGTGCATGGATCATTACCAGTTTTGAAAGGTGAGACTCAGAACTGCAGATTGTAGGTTAGCTTCTTTCTCTCTCTCCCTTCCTCTCCTTCTTCCTGCTCCCTCGCTCTTCTAATTTATTTTCTTTTCTTCCTTTTATTTCTTTGCAATAAGAGGCAGAGCTTTTCAAGATAATGTAAGGGCACAATTGTTCAGAGAAATCATCTAGGAGAGCAGAAAATGCTTTTGCCATTTGAAAACGCTTTTCCCATTTGTTATGCATTCAAGCAAGTGCTACAAAAAAAAGTGACTTTAACATTGTTTACTTCTGCTAAGTCAGTAGTAAAAACTATCAAGTGCTTTGGGCTTAGTTATTCCAGATTTAGCTAGGAATGCTAATATTTTGTAGCTTCAGTACATATGCTTGCTTTGCTATCTACACTCATAATAAGCACAGGTGAAGATGGACATCATACAGCAGGAATTGCAGTGTTCRGGATGAAAAACAACTTACCCCAATGATGCTCTGTGTACCATAATGGTCAAGCCTCTCATCCTGTTGAATCACTGTTATTTTAAATCCCACTTATAATAAAAAGACTTTTTTTTTTTTTTTTAAAGAAAACACTTGGCCTAAGAACCAGCTTTCTGTATTTTTGCATAGGCTTTGAAATTTTATTTTCATTATTATTTATCTAAAGAGCTATAATCAAATAAAAATCTGTGAATCTGCCTGCCTGTCTGCTTAGTCCTGGAAATATTAAATTAATCTCTCCATTTTTCAAATTGATTCCTAATTTAGGCATCTCTGAAAGTCCCTGTGCCTCTATCTCTCATATGGTATATGAGACCATAATCCAGCCACAGCAAAACATTCTTATCCTCAGCTTCCCAGGGTGAAAGTCTCTCCCTGTGCCTTGGAAGGGGTACCAGTGTGCGACAGTGGCACATGTGACTGTGGTCCCAGCTTCCCCTCACTGCTGATCGCCCATGCCATGAGTTTATAACTGTTTTTGGGACTTAGGAATTTTCTTCAGTCGGATATGAGGGCTGTCAGAAGAAGGCATATTCTGGTAACAGTGGTCTCTTTTGAGATGTAAAAGCTGTGGGTTCAAACCTGTCAGCAACTGAGGAAGTATCACAAAAAACGTTTTTGTGCTTCCTGTGTTGTTAGAGGACGTTGGAGGATGAAAATKGAAATCTCCAAGGGAAGGAAGCAAGATGCACAAAAATGCCCTGCAGCATTCTTGGATTGATGCCTGAGCAAAAGAGTTTCAGGCCCCTGCTTTTAATTAGATTTTTTTGGGGATGATCTGGATACATCAGCTTGCTAGTTCTTTAGACTTCTTGTGGTGCCTTTTATCCTACATCTTGTAGAGATATTTTGAAAATTTGGGACAGCAATCTGAAATTTGCACCCAAGTTTCCACATTTGCTACAACTGAAGATGGCAAAATCTGAGGTCCTCCACTGAAAGATGACCAAACCAAATGCTTGGAAGTGACTCTTCCAGCTGTCCTTGTGGGTCTGCTCTGCTCCAGCACCCTGGCCTAAAATGATTATTCCTGAATCAGAAGCGAGGCACTGAAGAGCTATTTTGCATAGGTATATGCATTGCTTTCTGACCTTCTAATTTCTAATTAATCCTCAAAGAGTTTGAGATTGCAATGGATTTATTCTGTGTTTGTAGAGGAACCTGGCAGGGAGTGGATTTTTTACTGTAACTGCTTTTCAAAGCTGAAAGATCGTTCTCCTATTTAAATTATTGTAAAAGTGGACTTTCTCAATAGCCAGGCAAATATAAATTTTTCTCAGCAGGTACTCTTTGCTGCCATGTATATCAAGCATTGAGACATAACAATAAAAAAATATTTAAAAAATCTCAGGCACTTTTATTGACAAAKATCTTTTCTTTGCAGACCACAATTTTAGCTCTTGTTAGTTCATCACCAATAAATATTGGACTGCATAGCATTCAGAAAATATTTATTTTAGAAATAGTAGATTTGTATTGTATAAGAAATTGAACATTGTGCAGGTAAACTAACTTACATCAGCTTCCAAAAACAAAAGACAAAAGTGTTAAGAATAACACTGACAAGAGTTCAGTTCAAGCGATTGTTAAAACCATAAATCATCAAACAAACTTTCCAAAGACAATGAGCTAAGCTGATGACTGAAGTAATCATTTCTGAGTTATAGCTGCAAAGTGATCTGATTTATGTGCAGGCCTGACCACGGTGGGATCTCCTCAGGTGCGCTGGGGCAGCAGGGTGTCACCATCACAGCAAGTGGCATCCTGCAGTGGCTGCCAAGGGCAGGGCTGGAGAGGGGGCAGGACCAGGTTTCTGGRCATCTAAGGGGTCACTGGAAACCTTCCAGCCCTGCCAGCAGCTGCACAWAACATGCAAGAATATTTCTTGTGCTGTTATTCACATGAGAAGTGGTCTGGTATCTACACCTAATCAAGAAGTTGTAAGATCCAGGAATTTTTTTTTGCTATGCTCTTCCTGAGCTGCTGTGCTACATTGTTCCTCAGTGAGCCCTTGAGCTACAGGCTGGTTGATTTTAAACAAGCAAGATCCTGGCARTAAACAAACTCATTTAATTTTAAAAGTGCACGAGGGGATTTRTGCTACAAGATTGATCTGATTATGTGATTATAAAACAGAAAAGTCAAGAAGATTTTTTCAGGGTTCATATGGTTTGTGGTTTCTGATAATCTAGATGCACATCTTCCAAAACAAAGTGAAAATACATTGAATATAGCTTGGCCATAGAAAAGGAGAACAAAGACCTGGCACATATCCCCAGTGAAGTACATGGCAAAAGCTTTTAATTCATCAGGAATGGGACCACAAATAAATAGTAAGTCATAAATATTACTTATATGTTATTACAGTAGACTAATTAGACTCATCTGAGACAAAGAAAAAGTTGCATCATTTTATATGAAAATTACGCACAAACCAATTTACAAATAGGTCATGTCATAATATATTAATCAACTCTTAAAATAATTATAGGTGCATTTCCACGATTTGTCCTAATACTCACGAATTCTGATCAAAGAAAATAAATGTGATAATGTATGAAGAGTGTGTTTCTGCTGGTGATCAGGATGGTGCTGTGGTCCTGCAGTCAGAGCCAAATCCACTCATTGGGTACCCAGAGYACCACACTCTGAAATTCTTTTACCTCCATTTCAATGCTCTCAGCTGAGGAACTTCGAGCAATATTAATCCCTGCATTGCAGAATTGTTAAGTTTTACCTAAAACATTCCTAAAAGCTTTAAAAATAAATTAGTAATAATAACCATTCATCTCAAAGCTTGTGTCTGACCCATTACCTAAACTTCTGGCAAAAAATAAATCCTGGTGAGGCCCTCCTTTCTCGCTATTACCAACTTTATTATTCACAACTGGCTTACTTATAGGGCAGAGTCTCCAAAAATATCCTGTTTGATCATTTACTTTTGCCACKAATTTGGTAAATTATGACACAATTAAGATGCTGGTCACTGAAAGTCAGTTTATATATAATCCTGTGTTTCATTTCAACAAATCTCTCCCTTCTTTCTCTGTTTATTATCACTGCACATAGCAGTTTTGGTGAAAATTGTTTTTAAAAGTGCATCCTTCATTAAACAATTTGATTTGTTTTTCTTATTTACTAAGATACCTAATCATAATATCTACCCTAAGAAATATTTTAGGGGAATTCTGTGGCCTGAATGACAGGCCTTTGTTGTCATATTATCTATGATACTATGAGTAAACCAGAAAGTAAAGAAAATTAACAGCTGAAAATCAAACAGCACAAACTGAGCTTCAGCTTTTCTGAAAATTGTTTCACTTTTTATGGTCAACAACTTCTGAAGAGTTCTCTTAAATTGTGCAAAATAGTTATTTTCTTCCATGAAGATAGGCAACTTGAAGAGAGAATACTGGTGTCAAAGACTGATTTAATGGAGAAATGTATTAATGTACCCCTGAAGACCTCATTATCATATTCAAGGCTGAGGTTACAACAACCAATTCTGCATTGTGCACATTAATAGAACTCAAAGACAGCTCAGACGGGGCTAACAAATTTTCTTTGGCTGAACAACAGTTGCCACATGATTATAAGACTTTGAAGAGCAGATCTGTGGAGATTGAAAATACCACACCCACTGGGAGTAGTGAACATAAGGCCATAAAAAGGACTGTCTTTCCTTTTTTACAAGCAGAAAAGAACCTATCCCAAATAAAAAGGAAAGTAATGAGTTTATTAGCTTAAAATTAATATGTTTTTCMGTTTGTTTGAAGATGAAATATTTCATCACAAGGACAGTAAAGCCCTGGAGAACATTAGCCAGAGAAATTAGGCATGTTTGGTTTCATGTTGGAGTTTCRAGATGACTAAAATCCCTGAGCAACCTGGTCTGAATAGAGTAACAACCTTTCTTTGAGCAAGATTGGATGCAATGGTCTTCTGAGATTCTTTACACTTGAAATACTCTGTGATTCACTGTTTCCACTGCTCTTGAATCATTGGGAAATTGCTAACAGAATCAGAAGGTGATTCCGTAAAGTAAAAAAACCCTTCTCTGGTTTTCCTCTCTTTTCCTGCAGGACCAAAGGCCTAAAGAAGCCATGAGCTCCTGCACTGCACATGACTCTGCAAAAATACCRTATGATATAATCCAAGATTTGTGTCTTGGATTAGTTACTTTTATGAGCTTTTCCCTCTGGGGCTGATTTCATTTAGCCAAGTGTTGCAATATCTATAATCACAATCATTACTGTGGGAGATCAGTTACCATTATTTCCATAGTGGCAGCTCCTGATTGCCTCGGTGATGGTCATAGTCCTATTTTGCCACTGAATATAAAAATTAAGATAACAGCCTCAATCAGCCTTAAAAGCATGGTGTCATGCACAGACACCAACACTTACACAAAACCATTCATTAAGAAAAAGTGCTTCTTTAAAAATTCACTGCAGCTGAACCAACAACTAATAGCTACAGGGAACTACATACACCACAATAATATACACTGCATTGTGGCATTATAGAAGTCATGACTGAAACTTCTAAATATGCACTATCAAAAATAAATGTAAACCATGAATCAAAAACCAAAAGTACTTTTTGGTTGTTATTGTTAAGAAAAATGGAAACAACCTTTAAAAGACAAATTGATGTTCACAACTATCATATGGATGTCCCAATGCATGAGCTWATCTAAATACATGCAGCTTTCGTTAAGACTACTAATTACATGATCTTTACAAATTGTCATGGGTCTTCACGGCAGGTAAGGCTATAGTTTTTGTGGTGAAAAATATGTAACAACCAAACAGGACATTATTTGAAGATATCTTTGAACTCCAGCTTACATTCTGACTGCATGACACTGTTTTGTGTTTAGAACATCACAATCTTAACACAGTCTAGTAACCTTAAACTGCCATCTGTCCTGCAGAGATCATGAGCCTCCTGGCAAAGATGCACTTGATTGACAGACTGACTGCTAATTTTTTTATTATTTCATTCCTCAATGGGATATATTTCTACTTTTGGCAGAGAAGTATGATGATAATTTAGTCTCCATTTATATAGATCAACTCCGATCTATCAATATATGTCTAACCACAGATTTTTTTATTTTATTTTACAAGAGCAACAACATCTTTTAGTGAGTCCTGGGAGGACATAGACTAAACATATGCTTAAGTATGTGTTCTCCTTCCAGGTTACAAGGTGCTTAATACATAAAGTGCTGTGTAAGTGAACATGCCGCTCTTCATTTTTTGGTGCATTTTTGATGGGTCTGTAAACTGTGTTCAAGAACAGTTACCTGCCTGATCTTTTTCTTGTGATCAACACTGTTTCAAACAGAGTTTGAACCTAAAAAACAGAAAACCAATATGTGCTCTGACTACTCCCAAAAAAGTAGTAGCAAGGATTTGTATTTCAAATAATAAAAGCTAAATTTCATTATTATGCTACCCTGAGAATGGGGGCAAATTGCCAGTGATAATGGCTATGCACTTTTTTTTCCTTCATAATATGAAGATAGAAAAATTCAGACTAGCTGAACTAGATTGGAAACCTGATCTAACTATGATCTTTAGAAAGTCTAGCACTCTTCCTGATTAGACTCTCAGACTGGATCATCAGTCTCTGGGACTGTGAAATACAGCATTTATAGTAATGTAGATCCTTGGCATTGTGGTGACTAAAAGCATTTTAAGTGACTCACCACATCTGAGGAAAAAAAAAAAGAAACTAATTTTTTTTTTTTTTTTACAGCCCAGTGCCATTTGTAGTTGGAATGTTGGGTACCCAACTTGGGAAAGTATAGAGATCAAATATAGGCACTATCCATGTCATAATTGCAAGCATAACTACAGCAACTCCGATGATGTTAATGCCCAAGCCAGCTTTCACCTAAAGACGAGGAAAAAGAAAGCAGAAACATGCATCAAGACACTGMAGAAAATTTTTTAAATGTCAAAAATCCCCTTTAGGACTTCTGCTTCAAACTCACCATGTCCATAATAGTTAAATGACCATATGAAAATACAATGGCATTGGCTGGGTTTGCTACAGGAAGCAGGAATGCAAAGGAAGTACACAAGGTAGCAGGTATCAAAATGAAAAGTGGGTTCACATGAATGGCTTCAGCCTACAAAAAATGAAGGAGAGTACAGCTGTCAAGGGATGCATTTGCCAAATTAAACACAGAGATACAAACTTCTTATATTAACAGGAGTGAAATGTGAATAGAACTGCCAGTTTAAACAGTGAGAAATCACCTTTATCRGTAACTCATTTCTTACGATTACTACACAGGCACAAAATGCAAAAACACTTTAAGAATGATGCTGAAGTTGAATTCATATATAATACATCACTGGTGATTCGGATGAAGGGATGGAGTGAACCCTCAGTAAAGCTGCAAATGACACTRMACTGGGTGGGAGTGTTGATCTGCTGGAGAGCAGGAAGGCTCKGCAGAGGAATCTGGACAGGCTGGATGGATAAGGCTCAACAAGATCAAGTGCCAGGTGCTGATCTTGGGTGACAACAGCCCCAGACAGAGCTACAGGCTGGGGGCAGAATGGCTGCAAAGATGTGAAAAAGGTCCTGGGGGTGGTGGTGGACAGCTGCTGAACAYGAGGGAGCTGKGCCCAGGTGGCCAAGAAGGCCAATGGCATCCTGGCCTGGATCAGCAATGGTGTGGCCAGCAGGACCAGGGCAGCGATTGTCCCCCTGTAGTTGGCAATGCTGTGGCCACACTTTGAGTGTTTTGTCCAGTTCTGAGCCCTTCAGTGCAAGAAAAACATCGAGGGGCTGGAGCATGTCCAGRGCAGGGCAATAGAGCTGAGGAAGGGTCCGGAGCACAAACCCTTATGAGGAGCAGCTGAAGGGGCTGGGGGTGTTAACCCTGGAGAAAGGGAGCTCAGGGGAGACCGAATCGCACTCTACAACTCCCTGAAAGGRGGCTGTGGGGTGCAGCCTCTTCTCCCAGACAGCTGGTGATAGCACAAGAGGAAATGGCCTCAAGCTGCACCAAGAGAGGTTCAGGTTGGACATCAGGAAGAATTTCTATAGTGAAAGAGTTGTTAAATATTGGAATGGACTGCCCATGGAGGTGGTACAACCATCACCTCTGGAAGTGTTCAAAAAACAACTGGATGGGGCACAATGCTGTGATTTAGTTGTCAAAATGGTAATTAGTCAAAGGTTGGATGTGATGATTTCAGAAATCTTTTCCAATCTAAATGATTCTGTAATTCTGTGAAAAGAGGAGTAACATTTCTTTGAGAGAAAAGGCATTAGTATGTGTCAAGGCTGGCCAAGAGGAAAATCTACAGACTAGAACTCCATCAGTAAGTTTGAAGAAGAAAGAATCAGATATTTTGATAAAGATAATGAGAGGAAAAGACAGAATTGAGCTAAGGAGAGAATAAATTATAATTACATATTAAGCACATCTATTAACCCTCTCTTATCTTTGTGACAACCTGCAGTGAAGGTTGTCACATTTTCACTGAAAAATTCCATAGACAATTGCCCTTTTAAGAGCTTCAAATATTCACAAGTAGTGATAACAGCATCTGTTTTCACATGTTGAACTGTGATTTTTCTGASGTAATTTTCTTCATGTTGGCCAGTATGTTTTGGATTTGTGCTGAACACAGTGTTGGCAATATAGGGATGTTTTTCTTCTGGTTGAGATGTACCTACACAGAGCAAAGGTTTTTCATACTTTTCTCAGTGCCACACTGATGAGGAGACTGGGGTTGTGTGGGAAATTGGTAGGAGACACAGTTGGGACAGGTGATCCCAACTGACCAAGGGATATTYCAGACCATGGCATCATGCTCAGCATGTAAAGCAGGCGGGGTTTGGAGCATTTCTTACCTCAAGTCACCATTACATGTGATGGCTCTCCTGGAGATGGCTGAACACCTGCCTGCCCATGGGAAGCAGTGAATTAATTGCTTGTTTTGCTTTTCTGGCACATTGGGCTTCGCTTCTCCTGTTAAACTGCCTTTATCTCAACCCCTGAGTTTTCTGGCTTTTCCCTTTCTGATTCTGTCTCACTTTAGCTGGTGCGAGACAACTGGTGATAGGACAAGAGGAAATGGCCTCAAGCTGCACCAAGAAAGGTTCAGGTTGCACATCAGGAGGAATTTTTTTAGTGAAATGTTGTTAATAATGGAATGGACTGGTACAAGAATGAGTGAGAGGTTGCATGGGGCTTGATTGCTGTCTGGGTTTAGATCATGACATGAACTTTTATCTAATTGTACTAAATTTTCAGCATCTCTTGTTAGCAATACATAAAGAAACCAAGTATCCAATGCACAATACAGGACAGCAAATAACCTGCATGAAGTATTTTACTGAGACTTTTTAAAATTGCTTGTTTGAGCAGCTGCATTATTACATGGATGATAGAGTAGATTCTGATTAAAAATAAGCTTATATACTCACCAAAGGAGATAGGATGGGCAGAAAGATCGTAATGGTAGCTGGATTGCTGGCTACTTCTGTTACTGAAGTGACAATAAGGCAGGATATCAGGATAACCAGCCACAAGGGTAATGATCCTAGAGGGGTCAATTTACTTGCTACCCACTCAGAAAGTTTTGAAACCTGAATAAGGAATGTGAGAATGTGATGGTTAGCAAGTCACTGAAAGGAAAATTTAAAAAATTATACATAACAGGACTTTATTCATCTGCTTATTGGGAAATATTTTTGCAAAAGAGAAAAATCTGAAATATTTTCCRTATTCCTACCATGTATTTTTGAGACCATTTTTCTAATTGGGTGGTGCCCTAAAGTAGCCCATGCAAACTATATTCCATCCATTTGTATTTGAATCTGTGAGGTGGTTAGAGGAATCTTAATCAGAAAATGGTAATATGAGTATACTGGTATGATATAAATGGTAATATGAGACTTCATGACGAGAGTCTAGGTCCAAACCTTCTTGATTTACTGGAGTAGCCATCAGGCTCCATGTGGGAATTATCCCTGTGACATTAAGGCTTTGGAAGCAGCAGGTCTTCACAACTCCTGCCCCCATCAGATTTAAATTAAACAAGAAACAATAGTCATAATTGTGCATGTCTTGGAAGATACAGGAAACTTCTTTTTCTCTAAACATGCTTCCTGAACATTTTGAATATCCGTCACATTTATCCTGTTCCGTGTTGCTACAGAGTAACTTGCTAAAACAAGAGAATGACTGTGAATTCACAGCCTGTTTGAATTGCCCTGGTTGGGTCACGCTCTTTGTTCAGTATCTTCTATAAATTGCATTACCTCACAGCCGTCTGCCAGTGCAAACCCACCACCAACAAGGATAGCTATTTCCCAGGGCATGCACGACTGAAATTCCTTCCAAGTAATCAGTGGAGTGTAACCAATAACAGCTAGAGAGAAAAAATAAAATAAAATAAAGCCCCCCAACCAACATTTTAAAACATATTGACAAGTTCTTGAAATAAGCTCCCTGAGGAAATACTTGGGAATAAATCAAAGACGAAAATCTCATCATTATAACACGAACAAAGTCTGTGACAGGAACAACCTGCACTTCCTGGGACAGATTGTTAGCTGGGGAAAACTGTCACAGCTTGGAGAGATCAGAGCTGTGACAGTTTCCACCAGTGGAGCATTGGCCCCTTTCCCCTCCTTTCCTATGTGGAAGATAGCTGTAGGACAGCAATGAGTTTATTACATGAGTTTATTCAATGAAACKGCACTATTCAGACAGATGGCTGAACAAATGCTGTTTCACTTAGACTCATTTAGGTTCTGACCTTGCATTCTCTGAGAACCTCCACATCTCATTGATTTCACCAACACAATTGAATGAATCAAGAGGACAAGTCAGAGGTCCATCTTGAAGAGGAAAAACTACATGATAATGAATTCATGTAGTTTTCAATTTTACATGGTACCTTAATTAAGCAATAACATTAAAAAAAAAAAAATAAGCCTAGCCCTGCCCCATGCAGTCCCATTTCAGAGCTCATTGCTGTGAAGAGAAAGGTGGTTTCCATCGGTGTCCATGGGCTGCAGGCAGCAGCTTCCTGCACAGCACTAGCTCCTGCTGCTCACATTCCAAAAGTTTTGGCACTGACTTCCAGGCCAGGGATGCTTTATATCCCAGCAATTTATATCTTTTATAAATGCTTCAGAATTAGTACTTAACAATATCCCTGTAACTAGTGCAATAATTGACATTTACAATAGCATCTTAAATATTTTATTGTAGTAAACTCTACATCAAAATATACTCAACTGTTTTCTCCATTTGACGTCCTAGACAAGGTTTTTGCTGGAATGATAAAGAACAGGAGGCCTATCACTAAGGCAGCTGTTGAATCCGTAATATAGCCTTTATACCTAAGGAGAAGTCAACAAGAAAAAAATCCACATAAATATATGTACTCAGGAGAAGGAGGGGAAGAGTGAGGAGTAGGATGGAGCAGCAGAAAAAGGTTTCTGTGGAGTCTATTCCCCATGCCTTGCACCACTAGATGTGGAGGAAAGAGGTAGAGCAGTAAGGAATGAAGGAGCCGAGTCCAGAAAAAAAAAAGAGGATGTGCGAAAAGTGGTTTTTTGTCTTTGTTTCTCACCATCCAAATCTATTTTTAATTTTCAATTTAATTAATATTTCCCATATCAMCTCTGCTCATTATGGTTACTGTTAAGAAATATCCCTGTCTTTATCTTGACTCACAAGTTTTCTGACTTTTTCTTCTCCCCTCTCCTGTCAAGGAGAGGCAGTGAGAAAGTGTCTGTGTGGGCAGACAGTCAAGGGCAGCCCCTGACATCTATAGAAATATTTGGTGCAGGCCCTCTAAATTCATAAATAAACATCTTGAGTAAGCTTGTGTTATTCTGCCACACAGAAATAAGCAGGGGGAGGGGGAGTAGGAACAGTTGATGCTTAAAAAATTAATTTTCACAGTTCAATGATAAATTAAATAGTTTTAATATGCTCTGCAATAGRTTCAGTTTAAGAGACCTTAAAAAGCAGTGTGCAGGCTCACAAAAGGCAATGCTTCTGCAGCTACGGAATGGCAGCAGAGCTTTACTGTCATCCTCCAATGGCTGTTACTACTGGGGTCACAGTTACAAGGGTCATGTTTGTTTTGGTCACTTCCAGTGCCTGAAAACTGTTTGCACTACTCTTTCTTAAACTGCCTCAGTATACTTGTACAGAGTAGCCCCAAGATCAGGCAAGGTGCAAAGCTGAGCCCTAAGGCCATTTTAACACATCCATCTGAGTCTGTTACGCAATGTGGGCTGGTGACATATCCCAGTCAGTCTTATTTCAGTCAAGATGATCATTAAAATGAATACAATTTTTTTCTGAAGAAAGCTAACCAAAGTTTTTCTTAACCTTGTTATTTTTTTCTATTTTCTGCAAGTTGTTCTGTGAGATTTTCTGAACCAATACACCAATATATTTGTTCTCTCAGCCTCAGACCATATGCTTCTCTGAATATTCTGCCACAGTAGGTCCAATAATAACTTCCTATCAGGTCTTCCCAGCAGCTTAATGTTTTGTACTGAACCAGAGCTTTTCACTGAAAGGGAAAAATGTTCTCTCAGTTATATGCTGCAAATGGATAATCTGATGGATCCTCAGGAGGCCGTCTGGTCCAAGCCCCTCTGCTCAGGCAGAGTCACTCAGAGCCAGCTGCCCAAGACTATGTTCAGACAGTTTTTTAATATCTCCAACACGGAAAATACACGACCCCTGTGGGTGATCATCACAAGCAAAAAACAGTTCTGATGTTCAGGAGGGATTTTCAGGAGCAAGTTTCAGTTTGTGGCCTTTGTCTCTCATGCTGTCACCGAGCACCACTATGAAGAGCCTGGCTCTTTCCTCTTTGCTCYTTACAATGGTTTTAAACATTGTCAACGTGACCCTGCAGCCCCCTTCCTGCAGACGTTGTTCCTCCGCAGGTGCAGGACTTTCACTTGTGGAACTGAGGAGTGCATTTTTTTGTTCACAAAACTTAGTATTCCCGACACAAAACACCATTCTCAAAAAGCCTGCTWGGGACACACACGACATCCTACCATGAGTCAAACTACTATGAGGACCCACACATAATGCCATTCCAAACAGAAGCTTTTTAATCACTATCAAATTTTGAGATAAACATTTTTCAAAGTCCATTTATCCAAGCTGCAATACAATTACATATACAACATGTGACTGTTTTATAAGACTGCAAATCTGGTTGTGTTAAAAGGAAACAAAAAAACTCAGGTTCAGGAGACCTCATGACTCCAGCTGAGATCACTGTAGAGAACAGGGCTGTGGGCAAAAATACCTAGTGGCCTTGTATTTGAAGTAAAGAAAGCAATAAACCATGAAGAAAAAAAAATTGTACATTCAGGCAATAATCTGAGGAAGAGTGAGGAAAGCCCAGCTTGCCTACATCGGTGGTAATCTGGTGAGCTGCAGCCCAGGGTTGAACTTTCTGTTTCTTATGAGGCTCATAAACTCCTGGCCAAAGGCCAACCTGGAACTCCTCTAATTGAAGCTAATATCCTAAACTTGGAATCAGGCCAGGACATAGAAGGAAACTTCTGTAGCAGAAATGATGTGTGATCCTGTGCTGTCAACAGATGGGAAGGAAACAGGCATTTTTACCCTGTGCTGCTCTCTGTAGTGTTATACAATATTTATTAAAACATCCTGCTGTCTGCTCACAGAAGGAGGTAACGGGTGCAGGGCAGGACAGCAAAAGAAGGATTAGTCTTTAATTGATTTACATTTTTTTCTTAAGAAAAATTTACTGGTAAAATAATTTTTGAAAGGCATCTGCTAAAAGCTCCTAAAAAAATTCTACTTAACACTGCTACAGCAGAAACGTGGATTAAAAATTTGCTGCCATTAAAAGAAGGAGCTCTTGAAAAGTATAAAGGTATCATAATTAGATATCAGTATTTCTGCTGGGATTTCAAAAATGTCAGGGTTTCCATATTAAAGGGATATTCAGTAACCTGTGAAGATGCACACAAGGGTCTGAGAACAGGAACATGGGTGGTGAAAGTGATGGGAAATTTTGTATCAAGCAAAGCTTTAAGCATTCCACTTAGTTTGTCAAGAAAATCTTAGAAGGTGATAAAATTACAAGAGACATATGCTTTTAAAGCACCTATCACAGTTTTTAATCCAACAGAGAAAGACAAAAACAGATAGCTGGAAGCTATATTCAGACAGAAAGCAAATTGTGGGTCTGTCTTTTTTAGCTTGATAAGAGACATGACTATCAAGGAAAATAGCAAATTCTAAAATCTGAGGAACCTGGGCTTTGCCACCCCAACATCAAGCCTGGTTTCTTTCTGGGAATTCATGTTCTAAAAAAAATAAGTCCCTACTGGGCTTAACATACAAAACAATGTAAGTCTTTTGATCTTCATGATGTTAGAATAAAGGACCAGAGAAACTTTTTCAGTTTAAGACCCCAAGAGTAGTATGACTGCCCTTTAACAGGACCCACGCAATAGTTTGGGAGTGTCGTGAATTTACTTATGGCTTTSACATTGTGGCTTTTCATAAGGTCAGAGCTCTTTTCAGGTAACAGAACTTCCCTGTTCTGTGGGTTAAGACCCTGTGGAAAGTAAGTAGTATCAGATTTCTGTAAGGGTGGAGAATATTTCCTCATAGATGTTTCCTGTACCATAAAATTTAAGAAGTTGTGCACATATCTCTGTGTACTTAAATCCAAAACACTGAGCAATTTTATATGCAGGGGCCTTAGGGAACAAGTGTGTCAGAGATGTAATCTGCAGGTCAGGGCACTGCTAGAAGCCTCTTGGACATCACAGTGACAGAAACACACTGTGTTCCTGGTCTTTGGCTTTTTTTTCCCCATTTCTTTGCTGTTGTTCTTGTTTGGTTTGGGTTTTTTTTTCTTAAGGGTATGGCTTTCTCACAGCTGCACCTGTGCTGAACCTATGCCCCACTCATTTATTCTCACTGAGAAATTTTTGTTGCTCAGAAAGTATTGACCTAATTGATTTGTTTTATGCCTTAAAGCTATCTAGAAACAGGCAAGGTATGAATAGTGAGAAATGCTTTTTGCCTCTTAAAGTGGGTAACAAAAGCTTTGTTTCTCTTTAGGTTACCTCACCCAAATGACAGCATCATTCAGCCTAAAGTGACATGACACATGMTTGCAGTTCCTTCCAAGGAAAATATGAGAGGGCATCCACAAACAGCATCCCTGTGCTGAACCCATAACCACGCTTATTTTTGAGAATGTTCTGGTTTTCTCTGCCAATGAACAAAATCCTCAGATAACGGTAACCAGTTTCAAGCAGAAATACGTGGCTCTCTGGACTGAAAAAAAGTCATTTGAGCCATAAGACCAACATTATAAAGGTTGTCTAGAGTGCCTGTTTTCCAGTTTTATATGTAGCTCTCTAAATAATGCTCAGTGAGCACCAGGTGTCAATAGGAGGCAGAAAGAGAAGCCAAGCCAGCCTGATTGCTTAGCTTGCTGATTGCTTGATTAGGCCACCATTCCAAAACCATTTCAAAAGTACAGCATTTCATATGAGACAATGATTATCAAGAGCTCTGCTCTTGTTACAAGGGAAAAACAAATGTTCTTCTGCAATTTGTTTGATAATTAAAAGTAAATTTTTAAACATCTTTGTTTTCAATACACTTTTTAATGGTATTTTTGTACATAATAATTTTATGTTACATTTAAATCTTTGAAGTGCTACAATTATGCCTTGTGACAACGCCTCCCAGACTTTTTGGAAGAGCACTGGGGAGGCGTGTAAGTGGTGGAAATAAATTTAAAGAGAGAAGGCATGATGTATGTGTGTTCATATGTCATTTATCACAAACACACAGGAAAACAAAATGGAAAATTACCCTCCTAGTCCAGCACTGGCCTTTGGGATATCCAGTAATAAAAGTTAAATTCATAAGGACCTAACAGCATTAAGTCCTACTTGTTCCAATCCTGCAACTACTTCCCACCACTCCAGAGCAAAACTCTAAATTTTATCACAGAAAAACAGAACTGAAATTACAGTAATTACAGCAAGAGAAAAGGAGATAGCATTGTAATATATATTATAATATATGTTCCTGCCACACTGACTGATTACTTAGGGAAAAGAAATCAAGTGGTCCTGGAGAAGTTGCAGCAGAAGACAAAAAAATACATTAGTTCTTGACTTTGTGGTGTTTAGTTGAACTATGATGTTCATAATATGTATGAACAGACAGTTATTTATATCATTAATTTCAACTGTTAAAGCAGGGGATGTTGCCCTATATGCATACAAGTGTGTTGTCACTAAGGGCAGCAGATCAATAAAATCTGATCAGGTTTATTCTTTAAATTTCACATTTGATGAAATGTCAATTTGCCAAAACGTCAGTGTGGCATCAGTGGTTATGCATTCTCCCTCCCCAGATTAAGCCTGAAACCGAGGCAGAATCCCTCTTAMGAGGCATTTCATTTTATCCTGGAGTAGGGTTAATACATTTCAGCTATTGCGTACACATACATATGAAATTGTTAGAATTTATCTTCTGTATACACTACAAAGGTTTGCAACAACTCCAGCCTGACATATTTCTGAAATATGGAAAGTATTTTAATTTTTGAAATTTAATAAGAAAAGAAGGTATGTAGTTAAGGCACARTATAGTTCTTTCTGGTGTATCAAAAGAGATCACTTACTTTGGGAAAAGTGAAGACCATCCTGGGATGAAGCCAGGATCTCTGGTGAACCACAGAAGGGTCATTATAATGAACAGGACAAGTGTAACAGTTTCTGGGTAGCTATAGCAGAAGTAGAATGAATTATAAATTTTACAGAATTCACACTTGGATTTACCTGCACTTGTTTGCAGATTTATAGTTTGAAATACCTAATTGGTCCAAGTTTCTTGTACTCCTCCTGAATCACCCGTGATGAGGCCTCTTCTCTGGCTGTTTTCTTCTTGCCACACCTGAACATGTTTTTAAAACTGGAATGTAAAGCAGCACATTGAATAATGAATTAGCAGTGCATCCAGAAAAAAAAAATGTCCAAACTTTCCAGTTATCAATAGCACTTGACAAAAGCAAAATTTTCACTTTACACTGCAGTATCTCCCGTTTAATTATTGCACACCAGATTGAGCATATTGGAATTAAGTGACGATGTTCAGTGGGAGATTGACAGAGACAGCAACAAAATGTGTCCTGTTATTGACCAGTTCATTTGCCCAGGAAGGATGAAGCTTTAATCATGTGAACTAATTGAAACAATCAAATATATAACCTATTTAATTAAAGTCATCTATGCCTTTGCTTTACTTTGTTTGGGAATGAAAAAGTTTGTACCATGTAGGTAGCCTGCATATTGAGCAGCGGAGTATTTGCTACCAGCCAGGTTTTCATTCTTGGATAAGACACTTACACAATGTTAAAACTATCAAAACAATCAAGAAAAATGAAACAATAAATGTTCACATATAGAGTGGTAAGCATGGGATGATTCTGTCTGCATAAATCTAATCTCATTTTTCATGGCTTGCACCACAAGTAGCCATGTAAAGGTGGAAGACTGATGCCCCACCTATCTCTCCAGATGTTAGTGAACTCATGGAGAAAAAGGTTTTGAAGAATCAGCCCAAAAGTATTTTCCTCTCCAAAACCATAAAAGCCCAAGCTCTGTGGAGAAACAGAAACCCTACCATACCATCACATCTAAATTTAGAAAAAGCAGAAGTTTTTTACCTCTCATTTACAAATACAGCCATCCAGTTTATAACACAGACATTGTTCAAGTGTTCAAACCAATGCTTCACTCCAACAAAGGGTGCACTCCTATGACTCTTCCAGTCAGAAAAAATGTATAAGATTTCAGCATTCTTCTGTCTTGCACATGTACACAGTTTAATGATGTGTATATTCCAAAGGGATGAGTACACCCATCTATGATATGGACTTTTCATACTGTGCTGAGTACTCCAGGATCCTTATTTTAGAAAATTCCTGTCCCATCTGGAGATTAGGGCATACTAATCAAAGCTGCAAAATCACTGTTGCTGCATTTTCTTCCTATTGATCATTTTAAACTAAGATGCAATATTTACTCCTGGTACAAATTACCATTTCTATCAATAACCTTTAGTCTTATTGATTATACCATTCACTTACTCAAACCCAAGGAAAAGCCACTGGAGCCAGACCCAGGAGAGCAGCAGAATAATAACTGTGATGGGGATGGAAAGGATAAACCAGGATCCAAAATTGATGCACTGGCAATCTGGGTAACGTCTGGATGAAAGAAAAAGAAAGGTCAGTTGAGCTTCACAAAGGAACAAAGATTTGTGAGAAGTGCCAGAAAGCACAGCTGCAGAAGGGTATTTCTGGCTGGCAGTGGACTTTGGCATGAGGTGGCCTCTGGTATCCTCTTACCTCGCCCTCCCATCCTGTTCCTGGTCATCATGACCACTGCAGGAACCAACTCTGCCAGTTATTTGAGCACTGAACCAGCAGCAGGTCTGGGGACCTGACACTGACTGAGGTGGGTCTAAAGTGAGCTCAGTGGGCACTGGAGGACCATGCACAGCCTAAGGACTGTTAGGACTAAAAAGAAACAGAGCTTGAAAGAAAGGAGATTTTTGAGATGAGATTTTAGAGCAAGAAAATATACTCAAATGCAAAAGCTCCAATGAATGTAGAAAACAACAGTGGAAGAAACACTGAGACTTGTATTGTTTAGATTCCATAATTCAAAGCTGATTAAAATCAAAATTATTATTATTAATTTCTAGGTATGTTCATTCATGTCTAAGTGGATTGTCTCTCCATTCACCTTGTCTCTTTGAGGCTGTGTTAATCTACTGTTTATAGATGTGGGTCATTCAAGCAGAGATCTCCTTTCCATGTGCATTTAGGAAAAGGAGAAGGGTTTTGGTTTTCTGAAAGAAATTGCTTTATTGTTGAATGTGGTAGATGCCACAGGCAAAAAGGCAGGGTAAAAAAAAGCCTGCTTTCCAATTTGCTTTGTGAACAGAAAGTACACTACCTTTGAGCTCCTCCAGCTCTACTGAGAGAGCTTTAATTCTAAAAGTGAGAAAATTCAAGTCTCCCTGAGCAGCCCCCTTCCTTGATGCAAAAATCAGATGGAAGAAAAAGAAAAATGTCCAGACAGAGGCCCTAATAACTGCTTCCAATTATTAGCCAATCTTTTGTATTTCAGGTCTTGAAAGAAGGAAAATTATTTTGATGATCCCATAGGCTTGTGAAACTGTAAATGCTTATTATAAATGCTCTCTGAAGTATTGTGCAAAATCTAGGTTTGATCTATATTTACTGTGATGCTTACATATATTGCAAATAAAGTGTTAGCTGTGACCAGCCTGAAACCCCTACTCTCTTTTTGAGGTGATGATCTAGTTTGCAATTGCACATAATGATGACACAGTGGAACTGGAACCATATAAGGCTCTTGTGCTGTGACATAATTTATTCATTACATGGTTATGTACCTTTTATTACATGTTTAGCCACACCAATTCTTGAAACTAAAAATTCCAAGACAGGAGAAAACTGACATCAGCATAGTAACGATTCAACATTTCATCACTTGTTAAAGTGTTTCTGATCTTTCCTGAATTATGTGTGATCATTTCTTATTGAGCAACAAAACCAACACTAAAAAGTTTGTACTAAACAGTAAATTCCATTATCAAATGTTAATTGATTGTGATCAGGTTCCACAATAATTTTATACACACAGAGCAATTTTTGAATATTATTGTAAGTATTTCTAGTAATCTGAATATTGAAATTAGGTATTTTTCATCTCCAGAGCAAATATTCCTCAGGTAGAATAGATGATCACTTTAAATGATTTTTAAAAACAATCTAGTACAAAGTTCTGGTTGGATTATCTACTGGTTTTAGATAATCTATTCAGTCTTGGCTGAAGCAGGGATGGACAGGACACACTTATTTTCTAGATCTATGTCCTCTGGAAAATGAAAAATTGTGATGGATTTTAATAATCCTGTTTCTACAGTGCTTCAGTGTCAATAACAGTAAACTCTTTCCAGGCAAACACTACAAATGTGATCAATAACGGATCTTCAAAAATTTTGCCATGTGCTATACAAAATAATGGGCAGAGCACAAAAAAAATGATTGCACTTTATTTTGTGCTATTTCAAAGTTGGAGTAGGACTTTCTGACAATGAGTGGTTTGCAGAAGAAAAAAAATGTTGATCAAAAACTATTGGATTTCAAAGGGTTTGGAATGAAATCTGCCAATTTTCTTTTCGAAGCAGTTCTACTTAAACGTTAAAAGGAATGTTAAAAAATGCTTTGGAAAAACCTTAAAGCAAGGTGCTCCATTGAATGCAAAGTTTCAGACTGGTTTGAAATTACTCACTTTTTTGTTGATTAATGGACCCTGATTTCTCATTTCAGCAGTGAAAGCTAGCCTCTTGAAAGTCTCTTGACGCTCTTTGCTAAGCAGACTGAACTTACCTCCTGCTGTATTTAGGAATTAATAATAGGTCTTTACAGCCAGACTGTGCCTGTTTCATCCATGCTAAGTAGTGTTTTCCTTCTCAGCCAAATCTATCCTTTTCCATGCAACTATGCAAATAGTAAAGCACTACCTAACCAAACAATGGTCATTTTGTTTCATATGTTGGCAGATCACTTATAGGCTTTCCCTGTATAAGGCAAATACAACCATGCAATTTAATTTTTCCTCCTTAACAATTAAGAAAAGCAATAGAATCAAATAATATCAAATCAAAGGGCAAGGTTTCTAATGTGTTTTAGGGGAGCCATGTGAGAACTCAAGAAAGAAAGTTAAAATTCTGGATTAAGAAGAATACAAATAATATAATATAGTCTCTTACGAATTGAAGTGCTCAGTAAAAATGAGATTAGTCGATGTTCCCGTGATTGTGGTCAGGCCTCCAATTGTAGCAGAATAAGCAACACATAAGCACATCACTTTGAAAATCCCACTGTATTTGTCCTTTCTGCTTTTTCTCTCTGCTTCAACAGGTGGTAGGTTCTGCTTAGAAAGTATATACACCAATTAATATATAAGAAGGGCTCATCATCAGACACAAAAATAGAACTCAAGGATATCTCAGAAGAGCCAGACAATTTACTGCCAATATAGGTTTCTGCAGTGTTCTTTGGTTTGCAGCTACACTAGTAGTACAATTATTCATGCAAAGGAAAAGGAGACAGGATCAAACCCTGAAGACTTTTTCCTGATCTGTCTTAGTCTTTACAGAAGAACTTCCTTTGTATAGACTGATACACGTACAACAGGTATATAGAGTTTGTGCTTTGGTGAGGTTGCTTTAACTTGTGTAAAATATACTGGGAGGACAAAACCACCAATGAAGTAACTACATAAGCAAACTGTGTATGTGTGACTACAAGTATATCTCTTATTCCCATGTAACCTGCTTCATTGCTACCTGTGCTATGTCAGGTGTTGCATGTAAGTGAGGTTTAGGTTAAAACTACGTTACACTGCGTAATAGAAAGACACTTTAAGTACCTGTTCCTTTCCTTTTTCATTTTCCTTTTCAACTGTGCATACAGTATTACCCACATTGTTATATCTGGAAAAACAAAAGCATGTATTTTAACAAACAGATTTAGGGTTCATTTAGATGAATTCTTGGAACAGTCTTTAGTAAATTAATAACAATTACCCATTAACTTGTTTTTCTTTCTCTTTCCAATCTGGCTTTTCATATTCTCCTATATTTTCTGTAAGACAGAGTTGAAAGACAGATAAGCATTTAAGGGAGCTAAACTGGGAAGATTCCATCAGCACATCTCATCCTATGCAATTACTTCACATCACCCCATGAATACTTTGGGAAGTACCAGTCTCAGAAACAGTTGATTTGTGCCCTACTCCTTCATGACTCTTATGCCCTGGAATCTGAATCTTCCAACGAGGAAAAATCTTTCTAATTTACAATCCAACTGTGTAGGTAATTAGTTTAGATTCATTTGTTCTTCCAACATAACCCTGTAGCTTAAAGAGCTCCTTTCTCGCACTAACATTTAAGCCTTAGTGTATCCACAGCCTGGAGTCACATTTCTCTCCAGCCATTTCACCAGGCTGATTAGCCAGCSCCTTCCCTTCTCCCCTCCTCTCCTCCACCTGCCATTCCTGCACCTGCTCAGCTTTAATTAATCTGTGATCATGAGCAACTTCACACACAGAAATCCAACAGGAGTCTCACAGTGAAGCACACAATGATGCCAGTACTTCTCTAAATATTTAATTTTAATTTTGTTGCATTCTTTACTGCAGAGTGAAGGTGGCAAAGACAGAAGTGCACCGTGCTCCTACCGTCCAGCTCCAGCGCTGGGTTGATGGAGCCATTGGAGCAAGACATCTCCAGCTCATCAGCTTCTGTTTCAGCTCTGATGATCTGCTGAGCTACAGCTTCTACAATTGGCATCACCATGGCAGCAGCAGAGGTGTTGCTGAGCCACATTGACAAGAAAGCACAGCTAACCATGAAACCCAGCATAAGCCTGGAATAGGAGAGAAGAGTCTGTGACTGCTGCGGTAACACTTCTTATCATCAGTCTATTTAATATAAACAGAGAACTTTGTCAACAGAAAAGTTGAACTATAGAGAATTTAAAGCCTGTAATGTTGAGAACATTTTTGAATTAAAATTGTCTTGATCTGAGACACTGAAATGACCATGTTTTAGAGGTTCAAATATGTTATGAACTGAGGCAGAAACAATAATGTTTATTTACAGAATTATACTGTATTTGAACCATCTTTGAAGAAAGAGAACCATGTATGTCACAAAATCAAATGAGAGTTAAAATGGCTACTGCTGATGYTATTAATCTTCTTTTTTACAATCTAGGTCAAAACCCTGGAGTTATCACTTGGGCTGTAAATTCTCTAGACACCAGTTCATTTGTTATAAGAAGAAATATTAACAATTCAGCAAGTGATACCTTAGTTCTTAATCAGAGCACTGAGACARGTGTAGACATTATTTGGGCTTCAATAAACATTATCTTTGATATTAAATGGGAAAGAGAAGGTCATTACAATGCCTTAAACTGGTCTTGGCTCAACCTTTTCTAAGTTTACTATAAACAGTAATGCAATACACTGAACTGCATCRATGACTGAAAAATCAAACATTTAATGCCATATCTGGTCAAGATGGATTGTAAAATTAGACTGCAGGTCACAATGTTGTTTTTAGTGCATTTCTTGGAGTTGTAAACGTGAAAAGTCCTCTTGACTCCCTGTCCAAGGTGCTGTCACTGTCATTAAACACCTGCCATACATCATCACAGGGAGAGAACTCCGTGGAGGGATGGTGGTTTGGCACCTTTCTCTCAGAAGTCATCTGTGCAATTTGTAACATTCTTTGCCCAGCCCTGATCTGAAGCACCACAAAAAAATGTCAGATTTATTCAGTACATGAAGCTAGTATAGAAATTATATAAAAATCATGTAAGTATTATTTGATTATTTAAAGATACCATCCAAATGTCTCTCATAGTYTTTCATTTCAGCTAATAGCAACAACATTTCAATCTGGATTTTTTCTCAGTAGGGGCTCCTTGTCTTTCCCTGAGCACTTTTAATTGCATAATGATGAAATGTTCTGTAGACCAGCAAGTCACAGACATGATTCAACAGAAATTGTCACACACAAATTGTAAAACCCATTAATTTAAGCCATTTTTCTTTAGGTACTCAGACATAAGTTGAGGAAGGATTGTGTTTCCGCAGAAAATAACGGTCAGAATAAGCACAACGAATATGAATTTTCACACTGTAGAGAAATTCCATTTTAGTAGAACTTGCAAGGGATTTAAAAATAAAAACAAATTAAGACATTCACTGAAGTGTTTCAAAACTATTCATCATAAAGTTCCAGCATTAGGTGGATTGATGATTGGGTGACCATTTTGAACAATATGGTGGGATCTAATGAGGGACTTTAAACATTATTATAAAATAATAAAATATATCCTATCCTGTTCAGCCCCTGCTTTTCTGCATTATTTTTCCTGCAGCATTGTTAGAAAAAAATATTATGCATGAAACCTTGGATAGTTTTTTCATTTATATCCAACAATAAAATCACAATTTGTTTTATAGTGCACAATCAGTATTTTACTGCCCTTTCTGATTCTTGCAGGTTGCATAGACATATTCACCTTTCTCTGCTAGTCTGCAGATTACATTACATAGCTCAAACAACAGGAGGGCTTCACAGGCTCAGAATAATCTGGGCTGTGAAAGACTCTTAAGATCATCAAGTGCAACCATAAACACGACACTGCTGAGTCCACCAGTAAACTTCGTTCTTAATTGATACATCTACACATCTTTAAATACCTTCAGGAATAATGACCCAATTACTTCCCTTGGCATACAGTTCCAGTGCCTGAACAGCCATTCACTGAAGAAATWTTTCCTTTTTTCCAGTCTAATCTTCCTGTGGCCCAGCTTGAGACCATTTCGTCTTGTCCTGTCACTTTTCATCAGGGAAAAGAGGCTGATCCCCACCTAGCTACAGCCTTTCAGGGAGTTGTAGACAGTGACAAGGACAYCCCTGTGCCTCTTTTCTCCAGACTAAACAACCCCTGATCCCTCAAATACTCCTCACCGGACTTGTGCTCCAGACCCTTCACCAGCTTCSTTGCTCTTCCCTGGACASGCTCCAGCCCYGCAATGTCCTTCTTGTAGTGAGGGGCTCAGAACTGAGCACMGGATTTGAGGTGCAGCCTCCCCAGTGCCTCAGGAACTACCCCTGTCCTGCTCCTGCTGGCCACATATTTCTGATACACATCAGTTTCTCCAGAAGAATATTTAATGCAGAATRCAGAAATCTGGTTTTTTTGCTTTCACTGCTGCACCTTTTCTCACCTCTGCTGCAGAGGTGTGCTCCAGTGGTATCTGTGCCTGGGCTGCCCAGGGTCTGCTGTGAGCCATGAGCAGCACATGCTGAGAGGTGGTAGTCTCTCTCCTTCACAGATTACCTCATTACAATCCCATCATCCCTTCGTCACCATCAGGAAATGTGATACATGTGAGCAAGCTATGAAGAATTCTGCTTCCTCAGGGTCACGAGCCTGCTCTWGGTGTCCTCAGCCTTTCTAGGTAACTCAGCAGCTGGCTGCAGGTTTGACTGTCCACAGCAAGGTCCACAGCAATGTTCACCTTAGCATAGCACACCATCCACTTGTGTTTTCCCTTTCAATATCTCAGCCAGAAGTTGAGAATTTAGGAGTAATCAAAAGAGAAGTTGAAATAACTAAACCTACATAGCTCAAGATAACAGGAGGCAGTAGAACAAGAATGTAAGGAGAATTTTTTTCCAAACAGAGAACTGCCAGCTATCAAAAGAGGCAGAACAAAATCAAAATACTTGTGATATTTAAAATTGGGTCAGTCAAAYCACTGAGGAATATAAATAGTCCAGCTTTTCCATGAAGTGTCATTAGTTAAAGCACCAGAGAGGCATCTTGTCTATTAGACCTGGGGTTTCTGGTTTTCTGATCATTTGCTTCCTGTCTGCTTCMTGGCAAGAAATCATGAGCATGATGTATTCTGGGATGCCAAATTTGCTCTATGGATCTTATCTGCAGCTTTACTGGGATGCTGACAGATGCATCTGTCAGCCTAAACCTTTCTGCAAGTTTGTAAAGCAAGCAAAGGAAAGAGTTTTCACTTCATAAGATATATGTTGGTAATGAGTAAGCAGAGTGTGATTTCATTTCCCTTATCACCTCATCCAGCTAAGGAAGTTCCTATCCTTTGATATTTTTTTCATATGTAGACAAAGGAAAACACTGTAGGTAAAGACATTTTGTTAATGAGTTTTTCCTGCCCCACCACCTGCTCAGTTTTACRATTTTTTTTTCCCCTCACTGTGTATTTGAACTCCTTTTTTTTGATGGTGGGAGGGGGCAGGTTTAGAATTTTGAAAACACCACTGAAATAAAAAGTAATCAGCATAGTACAGCTTTTATGTTGTAGGCATTGGGTGGGAATGTTCCAATGACCATCAAGAAATAGGAATCCTATAATACTCGCAAATTAATCATACTTTTTGTTCAGAAGGATCCTTGTTACGAAYACAAGCACTGCAGGGAACTTTGAATTAGGATTTCAGCAAAATAATAAAATGCCACCTACAAATCAATCATATAAATTTAAATAACTACTTTGTCTAAGTAGAAAAGAAAGGCTGGATTTCTACTAGAAAAAACAGTAGGCAATTATTTCTGGAATACATAGCTTTCCACAAGTATTATTGTCCTTCAAGACATTGTTTAGCACATACCATGCAGGGTTGACACCCACCAGCATCACCATTTTTAAAGCCACTCTTTTGTGGAGATTCCATTTTTCTATTGATGTTGCCAAACAAATAACTCCAATCAGCAGCAGATGAAAATCTTTAAAATAAGCAGATGCCACCTGAAATAAAATAAAAAAAAAAAAAAAAACAAAAAAGAAACCAAAACAAACACAGAACAAAGAAATCAAACAAAAAGAAAACAAAAAAACCAAATCTGTTTTTAAAACATTAAATGGCGAATTTCTCTTAACATTTGGTATTATCATTTTAATGGAAAAATACAATAAGATTATATTATGAAATAAAGAAAGAGATTTTTTTTTGGCTTAAAATTAAAATTTAAATTCATTGGAAATGGTAAATTAATTTAACCAAATGATGCAAGAATAAATGCACTAAAGTGCATATGGTTAAAACAAAATAAAAAAACAAAGGTCACAATAGAACAACCTAAAATCATCAGTCATATCTCTCATACACAGTAAATCACCAATGATGTGTTGTTTCTATTACTTTTTTATCTATTCCACAGATAATATAACAACTTTAAGCATAGACTCAGAGTATRATTATCTGTGATGTCATGTCTTTGGCATGACAGTGTTTACTCAGCAGTTGGCACATGGGGTCATTATTGTGGCATTTTTCCTCTGCAATATTAAGGATATTTAGCATTTCAATCTAGCATTTTCCAATCAACTAGCATCTAAACACTGAATCACAATCTAGAAAAAAATACGAAAAAAAATTTGAACAAGTCCTGAAGGCAAAACATGTAAGCAAGTCTTGAGGCAGAGCTATTGGGATTGGCACTCAGCAAATCCACGGGTTTTCCTGACAGGTTTCAACATTACGTGTTTCATTCTTTGGAGTTTTGATTCCTGATATGCACAATGTAATAGAAGGAAAAATAAGGGTTACCTGTTTTGATCCCATTATACCAAACAATGGGAACATAAAGGCAGGGAGCAAAGCTGAAACAGCCAGTGGCAAAGCTTCTGTGAGCCAAAAGATGGCAACTACAAACARTGTGTATGCACATTCTGCTTCCTAGAATACAAAAGGCACCAAAAAAAAACATGAGCTGATCCTCCAGGGGGAAAAGAATCACAGTTCAAGAAGTACTGCTACATCAACAGAGAGATTCCTCATACCTGGAAAAAGTATGAGTCAAAGCATTTAGGGTACTTAATGTGTGCTAATGACAATTCTAGTAAAATATGAAACACAATCTACAAAATAGTTCTAAAGAGGTTTTTTTCTAAGAGATAGTAAAATTATTTAAATTTTTTCACTTGGGAAAAAAGTCAGCTGCCTATTCCTTCAAGGACAATTAATCATATAGGTCATTCTGGAGTACTCTCAGGCCATGAATACCTATAAATCACTAACATTCTGCCTCTGTAAGCAAACCTTTAAACCTCTAGGAGTTCTCACAGTCAATAATAGGTCAAATTTTATCTCTCCTGTAATCAGTGAAGTTTTGTCATCAGCATCAATAAGGCAAGGATATAATCTAATAAAAAAAGTATCAYGCAAGACTGAAAAGACACACAGTTGTTGTTTTTAAGACTTGTAATTTTAATGAGTATCTTTTGCTTAAACTCCTGAAAACCGGGAGGTTTGGGGGGGTTTTGTTGGGTTTTTTTTTCTCTTTTTTTTTTTTTTTCCAGGAGAATCTTTTTCAATGCTGCCTAAAATGCAGCCCCAGAAAAAAATACAATGAGGTGAAGTAAATCTTGTTTCTTCCACAATCTTAGAAACCTCTTTTGTGTAGTTTTTAATCTATATTTCTGCTTTTAAGGAAAATTATTTGGAACTTTTAGTGTCCCTGGTTAAGGTATGAAAAGAATCAGCAGTAGCAGAGATGGTCTGTACTGAAAAAAGACCAGCTTAACGTCAAAGGCTCTTGGAACCTTTGACAGAAAAACAGCAATATTAAATATAAGCCAGCTGTGGCTCTCATTTATTTTGGTGAAGAAATTTTTCTTATGTATGAAACAATTTGAAAATATCCATTGACCTAGCAAAAGTTCATCTCATTTAAGTCCTCCTACATTTAGAATTTCCCATTAATTTCCTCCCAGAAAGAAAACTGAAATATTGGAACTGTGATGTGAGAGTGAGAAGCACATTGCTCTGTAACCACTCTCTGTCTGTGATGCAAAGATTTCTGAACCAAACTTTCATGTATGATATTTATAGTGCACGTGTGCCAACACATCACAGAACTCCATTTCATTCTGCTGGCATCAGAGCTGTACCAAATAGAGTCACTAATGACTTTGTTAGGAAGCTGTTTCATAAGCTTGGAATTGTCTCAAGAGTTAGGGAATGACAGAAGAATTTATTTCAAGTGAAATAAAACTATGATGTCCTRTCATGTATTTTGCTCTTTTTAGGAACCAGAGGGAATTTATCAGATCATTGATTTCAGTCATTTCCTCTCAGACAGCACAAAATGTGATGAACTTAAAAATCCTTCATGGAACAAAAAAGTAAGCAGCTCTCTTCCTGACAATTCATCTCCATTGCCAATCATACAGAGCTGTTTAAAAGTGTCCAAAAAGTAATAATGAGAACAAGACTTTCAGTGTAGTCCAGATGATGTTAAATGGGAAAAAAACATTTCTGAACAAGAAAACAAATATTCAGAGCTTCATGAATCCAGTACAGAATTTTACGTCAAAGCTGTCTTCTCAACATTTCTGTGTAAATATCCTGAGTAGACCAAAAAAAAATCACAATGCAAACATCACTAATTCATTTAAGGTCCCTTCCGACTCTGTGATTCTGTTAATCTGAAAAGATCTGGGAATCTCAGTCTTTACACAGAGGTGCAAAACAATTACCTTTCCAAGCAGGTCACTTACTTTGGTTTTGATGATAAGTGGAAGTGGAAGTAAAAGCAGTGGGGTGAGGACAATGAGCAGGAACCTTCGGTAAACCAGGAGGTAGCTAAGAAACTTCATGGTTGGTGGCTGGGAGATGAACTTCCCTGAAGAAACTGCCAAAAAACATGTCTGACTTTAAATAACTGACTCTGATTAATATTTTTCCAAGGTATCACCTTTAGCCATTGCTAAAGCAGGCCAGTAAAGCAAGTTAAAATTAAATCTGGCTCTTTATTGTTTTAGTGAGTTTATTAACAGTAGGTTGATAAGATAAGTGTTCGTCCTAAACCACGGGTAGATGTCAGCCCTCTCAGGACTTTCTCTCCCTGCCCTTCCCTATAACAAGTTTATGCAATTACAACAGCTAGAAAAATAAAAACCTCAGGTGTTCTCCCAGTCACTGTTGATTTTCATAGGAAGTAAAAACATACACATAGAATATATGTTCAAAACCAGTTGTGGCATTATGTGAAATCATGTTCAAGATAATTTTTTTTTTAACAAAATTAAAAATTCTTCATGTCATCTCCATCTGTGGAGATATTCAAAATTTGATAGGATGAGAACCTGAGCAACCTGACCTGAACTTTGCTCTGCTTTGAGCAAAGGTTTGGACTAGATGACTCGCAGAAGTCTCTTCCAGCTTCAGTCTTTCTGTCGCTTTTATATGCCTAGAATCTGAGGTATATGAGAAAAACAGGGACTTTTTTTCTGTCTTGCTGGGGAGGGAATATATGATAGTTCATCTTCTCGTGCAGAAAGAGGGTAAGGTTTTTTATGTACATCATATAGAGTTTTGAGGAAGTCTAAGAGKAGGAGAGTTTTTGAGACAAAAGTAAAAAATAAGTAAATCCTTTTGCCTGAATTTTTCTGTTTTTCCAATAAAAAGAAAACTTGGTACAGTCTTTGTAATACCACAAAATGGCATCAAATAAAGAATAGGAAAAGATAGGAAAGAAGCTTGTACACTATCTGTGGAGGAAGATTAAAAGGCAGAAGAACACACTGTTTTGTGCTCGGGATCTTATGTGAAGCAGAAAATAGGAAGAGGAGACAGATGAAGGAGTCTTTGAGCTGCTACCAGAACCATCCAAAGGACAGGTAATAAAGGTAGATTTTTTTACTATCCATATAATCTTTTGATTATAAGAATCCCATGTGTCAGGCAAACAAAGCAATCAGATTGCCAGTGTTGAGTAGACACTTCTGCTTTCAGGAAGGCAGGACTTTGGTATGGGAACGCAGTATTCTCATATCTGACTGCCAGAAAGCAATTGACTGAGAACCCAAAGGTGGGAAATAAACTGGGGTATGTACAGTGAAATCACAGCTTTGCTACTGGGGAATTGGGAAAACAGCTTTGCACAACCTAGAGAGCCGYGACAGACAACCTGGGAAGATTTTGTATGGGGTTAAAGATGTTCAAGTGAACTGGTAAYTTTGAACTTATGTTCTAAATATATAACGACAAACTTGTATAAAAAAATGAGAGTCAGCATTAAGAAACCTTCAAATATCCAAAAATCAAAAAATAATTGTATGAGATCTGGAAAAGTCCATGCTATAAAGGAATAACTAATATTTAAACTGATAAATTCAGAAGGATTGCGATGGGAAATATATTTCAGTTGGAGAAGTCAAAGAAAATCTCTATAAAAGTATCAGAACTAAGAGGAAATGAGAGGAGAGTGATTTAGTAAACAAAAGGGAAGACAAACTGCAGACAGAGCTGGAGTTGTCAACATTTTCTTTGCTTGAATCTTCACGAAAGCAAATGGCAGTCAATTAAATTAATTTTAACATGAAAAAGGGAATGCACCATGGGGACAGTGTTGGTGGGAGTAGTGAATATTTAGGTTTAATATATGTATTCAAGTCAACAGTTCCAGAAGAAATTTACCCATAATTCATGGGTGATAATTCATGCAGYAATCTGAGAACTATTTTAGAATGTATTTGAATATATTTTGTTATGCCAAATATTCAAAAAGCTGTGGAGTATTACAAGTTTCCAGAAAACTGGTCAGACATAACTGGAAATAAAATATGTCMTATGAACCCAATTTTGTTTTCTTTTTTATGGGGCAACTCACTTATTTACTAAAGATAAAAATCATATGGATTTTATTTTACTTCAATAAACTTTTTAGACAAACTACGAGCAAGTCAGACGTAAGCATAGAAGAAATGCTCTAGGGAAAATGATGTCTGTGTGCACAAATTATTTTTTAARAGTTGTTCTTGAGGAGTGGTTGCAATTGTTTTACTTCATATTTTCAMGATCTTTCAAATGGAATCCTTAGGAGTCTATTCTGTTTAGTTTTCTAGCCCATATTTTTGTTAATGGTTTTGAGTCATAAACTCAGCAGGATAAAGATAATACCCTCTAGCTGATGCTAGACCATAAAAGCTGCTTTTTCAGCATTCTTAGACAATCACGGCTATAGCAAAATGACATGAGGATATAAGACTCCAGAACAAAACAGAAAAGGGCAAGAGACTTTCAGTACTAATTCAAATAAAATGTTGGTGATGTGGAGTAAAAATGAACAGAACAGGTCAGTGCAGAAAAAGGAGTTACACTGAGAAATTTTCCTCCCAAACTTATGCTGAGATGTTTGTGGAGCAGTCAAGCTTTTACAGGTAACCTGAGAATAGATAAACACATGGATGCTCAGGGAGACAATGAAATTGCAGTGGAGTAAGTTGGTGGAGGAGGGTTAAAGGCTTTATTAAAGAATGGAAYTTGGGACCAAACTTCCCTTACAGGGAGGAAGTAGAAAGAAGAGAGGATATGCAATCCTGCTTACAAGAACTTTAAACATAAATATCTGCATGTGAAGACAAAAGTGTGTTTAATGTGATTTGAGGTATTACTGAATGATTAGGAAAAAAGATTATAAATTCAGTTTGAAAAATAAATAATGATGTATTGCAACACTGCAAAACATTAAAAAAGAGGCAGAGTTTCTAGGGAGAAAGAATATTTCTTGTTATGCCAYCCAGTGTTAGCTGATCTGGGTCAGTATTGATCCCTTAATCCCCAGGCTTCTTCTTGGAATGTTTAATTTATTTTTGTTGTGTCGTGAGTTAACTGTGGACAGCTCTTGTGTATTTTCTCAGAAGCTGAACTGAGTTTTCTGGTTCATTTTTTCAGACTTCAGAAAAACCTGTGGGAATGGTCCTTTTGTACTGAAGTTTTGTGCAGAAAGCTGCATTTGCAGCTCAGCTGAATACTGTTGTTTCTCTTTCATGCTTGAAGAAGGCCTCGTGTTGCTCAAAAACTCATAATAGTTTGGGAATGCAAAGCAGAAGAAGGGTTTGAGAAAGAGGAAAGAAAAAATCCAGTTTTTCCAAAAGCTGGTTTTTCTATAAAACAAAGGAACACCAAAGACTGGTATGAGAGATCCAGTTATGGGCAATGAAATGGCAAGAGGGACATCATCACACCCCAGCAGATACAATCAGTGAGACTGCAGTCAAGTCCCCACTGCTTAGCAGAGAAGGAAAAATGAACTCAAACTTTGCTAGGCACTAGGAGATTCTGTARAATGAATATCCTAGGCCTCACAGTCAGCTTGTGAGTTCTGTGTCTTGAATGATGCAAAAGAACTGTTTTGACTGAGGCCCTGAGCAATAGGCTGTGGCACAGACCAAGCAGCACACAGTTCACACAGTCCCCATGGGCCACTCCAGACAGGGCCAGCTGAGAGAAACGCTCTCTGTGCTACTGTCAGGAAGTGTGACTCCACTGGAGTCTGGCAGAAGGCTCCTGCAGACACCCACGGTCAGCATCAGGGGTGTTGGAGCCAGGGCTAGAGGGCAATTTGCTCAAAGACCTAGGTACAAGTCATGGGYAATGTGGAAGAATGGGGATATTGATAGTATGTCTCAAGGAGATTAAACTCTGGGGGGAAATAACACTTGATTTGATTTGCAATATAATACAAATACCGTGTCAAGAACCACCTGAACCAATGAAGAACGAGCCTTGCAAGCCAGAAAAGCACAGCGATGACCCAGCRTGAGCCAATCCCATCTCTCCCATCCTGAGCAACCACCATAACACATGAAGCTCAAGTCATGCATTAAACAACWCAGTGGACATTTTATCAGAGTTTTACAGTGATGATCTATTCCCATACRTACGGGAATTTTATTTGTATAGATGTGTATTACATGATGGGAAACAGTGGTACTTGGTAAGGTTGTATTGGATCATGTAAGATTTGAGTAAGACATACATTATATGGACTAAAGGATGGATAGATTTTGTTCATAGCAGCCTGTATGGTGCTTGTTTGGACAATGTGATGTTTTAAAAATGTGGAAAAAAAACCTATGTGTGATAACACATCTGTGTTTTGGTTATTGYTGAGAAGTCCTCCCACAGCATCAAGATATTCCCACTCTGACATCCCAGTGAATAGGCTGGGGGTATGCAAGAAGTTAGGAGGGGACACAACAAAGGCAACTAACACAAACTGAATAAAGAGGATATTTTCCTGCCACATAGAATCATGTTTAGCAACAAAAACTGAGGTGGGAAGGTGTTTTAGGATGAGAGACATTGCTCAGAGCATGGGTGGGCATTGACCTACTTGCAGGAGGTGATCAGTGTTTGCCTTTGTATTAATTATCCCATTTTTTTTATTCCTCTCTATTTTGCTTATTAAATTTTTTTAACCCTTTGCTCTTCTAGTTGTCTCCCCTGTCCCACTGGAGTCAGAGCAGCTRAGCTGGTGAACTGAGTGAACTCACCACACCTTGTCAATGGCCTTGTCAATCACAGTACCACTCTCTGTTTTAACACACACTTAAAAAAAAACCTTTTGCTTATCAAAGACACAATGGTAATAAACCAAGAACAATTCAGTCAATCAATACTTCCTGGGAATTTCAAAGCAYGTAGAATTTAGTACAACTTGCAGGGCGGGATCCATAGAAACGTGGAGGGGGAAATCCTTATTTCCTTGTCAAAGGCTGATTGTGCAGGATTAGCAGGATACTTTTATAGAATGAGATAAGAACTATTTTAGAGCAGCACTCTAATCTAGAAGGAAGGTTTCTTTATACCAATACATGACTAATTATAGTAACAGAAAGACTATAT